TAGGGAGCGTGGGACTCCCGTGGCCACGAAGACGTGTTCTAGCGTGGCTCTTCCGTCTTCTGACGTTGAGCCCCAGATGAACGGGACCAGGAGCCTGCTCCAGGTCATGTTGGCGTGGATGCTGTCGTTCGCCACTCGGACGCGGATCTCGAGGATCTCCTGAAGCACGCGTCGTGCGTTGCCCTCACTTTCCGGGGGGAGCTGGGTACGCGAGCTCTGCCGTTGTCTGTCGACCGCCTGTGCCTCGTTCTCTCCTCTCCTTGTGTCCCGCTGGTCGTTCCCGCGGGCCACTGGGGCGCCCATCCCCCGCGTGCGCAGAGCGATTGTGAGGCGCGTCGCTTTCCCGCAAGGGCTGCCTGGCGCTAAGCGGTGAGCAATTATTATTCCCTCCCTCCTGGCCGCAGCTATGATGGCTGCGCAGGCCACCTCTGTCGCCTCGGCGCTTGCGCCCGAGGCCTCGACGGAGGCCCTGCCCGCGGGGGTGAATATGAGGGTTTGGTCCAGGAAGGTGCCTCCTATTTCTCGGCGGAGCCATGCCGCGTCTTCCGCAGGGAGACCTTCGAGACACTGCCGGTATCTTGCTCTCAAGTCCTGTGCACTGGGCGTGGCGTTTGCCGGAGCCGGGGGTTGAGTTGGCAGGGCCACGGTGGGGACTTGGGCAAGGCATCCAGGTACCCAATCGCGAAGCAGTCTGCCGAAAGGGTGCTCCCTGATGATAAATTGTATGTGCGACACTGTCTCCATGACCCATCCCAGCAAGGCGCAACAGAGTCCGGCGAGGGCGCCCGCGGTAGCTCTCATTGCTGGCTCGTCTCCCACTCTTGCGTCGACCACGGAAATCGGGTATGCCCCTCTGCCTGCGGTCCTTCCGCTGTCCAGTGCCATCTCAGTCATGTGGCTCCATGCCGCGAATAATTCCGCAATCAGCCATGACGGGGAGTAGCTGGTGGTCTCCGGTGGGAGGTTGGGGGGGCCGATGTGGCTTGTGATTGGGGCGTATCGAGCCCCCACTCTGGCCAGTTGGAGGGTTAGTTGTGTACCTAGTAGGTCCAGAGGATGTCCGGGGGCTTCAAGGTTGTCTGGGTGGAGCCCGTCCATGGTGGTCACCCAAGGGGTAGCTAGCCTACGGCAAACAATGCAACTGGGACCGTCTTGATCCCGCGTGAGCCAGCAGCCGCAGTATTCGCATCTGGTGCTGGGGCGGAAGAAGTCCCCGACCCTTAGCATGTAGGATGTGCTGTTAATGGGCCAGAGTCCCTGGTGGGGATACGCGAAGCGTGAAGAATTGACTCGTCTGTGTCTTCAGCGTTGAGCGTATTAATTTGCAACGTCGCTCTGCAGAGAAGCCTTGCACAGCATCATGGTGAAGGTACTTGAACTGTTGACGCTTCGCGAATCCCCACCAGCCCATCCAGAAACGATGCCCAGAGGAATTGCCTGAATCAGGGAAGTGGGCACCACACAGAGGAAGCAAGTATGAGACATCTTGGGATATCTTGAGCCATCTTGGAGGTCATCCTGGGCTCTCCCAGGCGCTCTTGGAGTCATCTTAATCAGTTCTTCCCCCCGCAGAAGCCAACATGTGGCTAAAACTTTCGTGAAATCAATGATTGGCATTCTCGCCGAAGCCTCTTGGATCATCTTGTGTGGCTCTGGGGGGTCTCTTGGGGCCCCTTGGGGGTCTCTTGGGGGCCTCCTGGGGGCCTCTTGGGGGCCTCTTGGGGCCATCTTGGGGCCATCCTGGGACCTCTTGGGGCCTCCTGGGCGCTTCCTAGAGCCATCTTGGAGGAGATCGATCAAACAAGAGGGGAGTATTAATTAGCGCCGCCCCTCAGGAGGCCAAAATGGGGCCAACACCTTAGTAAAACCAGTGATAGTGGCTTCCTCGCCGAGGCCGCTTTGGCATTCTCGCCGAGGCCTCTTGGAGCATCTTGAGTGCCTCTGGGGGGTCTCTTCGGGCCTCTTGGGGGTCTTTTGGGAGCCTCCTGGGGGGCCTTTGGGGGGCCTCTTGGGGCCATCTTGGGGTCATCCTGGGACCTCTTGGGACCTCCGTGGCGCTTCTTGGGGCCATCTTGAAGGAGATCGATCAAACAAGAGGGGAGCATTAATTGGCGCCCCCCCCCAGGAGGCCAAAATGGGGCCAAATCCTTGGTACAACCAGTGATATTGGCTTCCTCGCCGAGGCCGTTTTGGCATTCTCGCCGAGACCTCTTGGAGCATCTTGGGTGCCTCTGGGGGGGTCTCTTGGGGCCTCTTGGGGGTCTCTTGGGGGCCTCCTGGGGGCCTCTTGGGGGCCTCTTGGGGCCATCTTGGAGCCATCTTGGGACCTCTTGGGGACTCCTGGATTCCTCCTGCCCGTGCGGGCCACTCTTGATGCATCTTTGGTTGGAAAAAATGCTCTCTGGTATTCGCAACGATAACGGGCGTTAAGGGGGAGGGGCAAAAGGGGACGGCATAACGTAACGCACCCACCCCCCACCGTGTCAGACTGTGGTGCACGGACTGCGGAAGACGCACTGCGGCGATACCAGGGACGCGCTGGGGGAGGGGAGCGTTACGTTTTTGTTCAGGGGGAGGGGAATGGGAGGGGAGAGGCCTAACGCGCGTCATGGCCACAAATTTTATATCAAATCGCACCAGCCCTCCGGGCGTCGGTGGTTTAAGGCGTTTCCTCTTCCACCCCTCCTTCTTCCCCTTCGGGACGGGGTTTACCCCTCCCCCTACCCCCTCCCCGTGGACCTGGAGGGGGGGGGGGGGGCGCGTGGTGTCAGAACGTCCAAAAACTGCCTCGGCGAGGAAACCAAACTCATTGATTTGACTCTGGTGTTGGCCCCATTTTGGCCTCCTGGGGGGGCGCGGCTAATTAATGCTCCACACTTCTTTGATTGATCTCCTCCAAGATGGCCCCAAGCAGCGCCCAGGAGGCCCCAAGATGGCCCAAGATGGCCCCAAAATGGCCCCAAGAGGCCCCCAAGAGGCCCCCAGGAGGCCCCCAAGAGGCCCCCAACAGGCCCCAAGACCCCCCAGAGGCACCCAAGATGCTCCAAGGCCTCGGTGAGAATGCCAAAACGGCCTCGGCGAGGAAGTCAAAATCATTGTTTTTTCTAAGGTGTTGGCCCCACTTTGGCCTCCTGGGGGGGGACGCAAATTAATGCTCCCCTCTTGTTTGATCAATCTCCATCAAGATGGCCCCAAGAAGCGCCCAGGAGGCCCCAAGAGGTCCCAGGATGGCCCCAAGATTGGCCCCAAGAGGCCCCCAAGAGGCCCCCAGTAGGCCCCCAAGAGACCCCAAAGAGGCCCCCCAGAGACCCCCCAGAGGCACCCAAGATGCTCCAAGAGGCCTCGGCGAGAATGCCAAAACGGCCTCGGCGATGAAGCCAACATCATTGGTTGTACTATGGTGTTGGCCCCATTTTGGCCTCCTGGGGGGGGCGGGCTAAATAATGCTCCCCTCTTGTTCGATCGATCTCCTCCAAGATGGCCCCAAGAAGCGCCCAGAAGGTCCCAAGAGGTCCCAGGATGGCCCCAAGAGGCCCCCAAGAGGCCCCCAGGAGGCCCCCAAGAGACCCCCAGAGGCACACAAGATGCTCCAAGAGGCCTCGGCAAGAATGCCACATCATTGATTTCACCAAGTTTAGCCACATGTTGGTCTCTTGGGGGGGAGCACTGATTAAGATGACTCCAAGAGCGCCTGGGAGAGCCCAAGATGACCTCCAAGATGGCTCAAGATATCCCAAGATGTCTCATACTTGCTTCCTCTGTGTGGTGCCCGCTTCCCTGATCCAGGCAATTCCTCTGGGCATCGTTTCTGGATGGGCTGGTGGGGATTCGCGAAGCATCAACACTGTCTGTTTTCCCTACCTCGGCTCTGCCTAGAAGGGTTCTTACCCTGTGTGCTTAAAGGGCCGGGCAGTGCTAATGGCCCTGGGCGGTTCCCCTGGCATCCGTCCCGAGGTCCCCCAGTTACTTCCCCTTAGCTTAGCGTTGTTAATATCATCTTAGCTTAGCTTAGTTCATCTTAGCTTAGCTTAGCTTCATCTTAGCTCAGGTGTATCTTAGTTTAGCTTCCCTTCATCTTAGCTATGCTGAGCTTTAGCGTAGCAGAGCACAGCATAACATAGCATAGCGTAGCATAGCGTAGCACATGATATCATAGCATAGCCCAGCATATCATAGCGCAGTATAGCATAGCGCAGCACAGCAGAGCATAGCACAGCATAGCATAGCCTAACATAGCATAGCATATCATAGCATAACGCAACATAGTATAGCATAGCATAGCATAGCATACCATAGCGCAGCATAGCATGGCATGGCATGGCATGGCATAGCAACTAATGCTGCTTTCCTAGGGGCCCCAACTTCTATGTAGGGTCGCACTGGGGTGATAAATCTACATAAAAAAAACTCCAGCCGCGGGTGCAGAATTCGACGGGTGCCTGCGAAAACGTGAACATCTGCGGGGGGGGAATCAGATACCTCAGACCCGTCTGGACCCGCCTAAGGCAGGAACAATTAGCATCGAATCGGCAAATCGGATCGGATCTGAGCGTGATAAGACCGCATCGGCCGAGAGTCGGAAACAAATCGGACAGGCGCCGGGATGCACAAGAGCGCCATGCAATTATCAAGCCGCATCGAACCGCCAGAATATCGGAATCGAATCGGATGGGAGCGGCCAAAATCGATATCGAATCTGATCGATCTGGTCGAAATCGGCCCTGCTAGGGCGGGGCTTGCATGCGGCTGCCAACCACAGCGCCTGACGAGCCCCCACCCCACCCGGGACCCAGCCTGAGCACGAGTAGGGAGGCCTTACCCACCCCCCTGGCATCGAGAAGGCGCCGCAACGCGGGCCACATTGAGGCCAACTGGGGGCATCAGCATCAACCGATTGAAATTCTCGACATCTAGCTGCTGTAAGGCGCCCAGAAACCCGAAGGCTCCCGAACAATGGCGGTAACGTCCTCAATCCTCCCCTGCTCCCTCCCCGACGAGGCCGCAGCAAGGAAATCTCAGCCAGCGGTAGCTCTTGGTGAAGTGTTTGCACGCGCCTTTGCCCGGAAGCGGCTGCCCAGCGACGACGCCGAGGGCCTTCTCCTGCATGGCTATCGGTCCCCACGCGCTTTCAATGATCCTTACTTTCTCCGCCTTGCCTCTTACGTCCAACTATTCCTGCCCATCCGCCACCCCCCCATCCCCCTCCACTCCTCCCTTCATGTTCACCGTGTCTCTCTACACTGCGGTTACCTCCTCCTCCTCCGTTTCCTCCCCCTTTTCCTCCTCCTCCTCCTCCTCCTCCTCCTGACCCTCCTCCCTCTCCTCCTCGACACACTTCCGGACGTGTCTATAGGGCGGGTTGGGCGTTTTGACTCAAACTTGCTCGCAACTGATCGACCTGTGAACCTCTGAACCCCATCAGTTCCACGTTGGAAAGCGCATTGTCATCAAAATCTGGTTCTCGCCTTGCGCCGCGTAGAATTCTTTGTTTTTTTGTCCAGCCAGGCGGCGCATGGATCCTGAGTCCTCGCGTGCACGCAGCGGTGACGCAAAGGCCCTGCAATCGAGAAGAACGGCAGATTGCGTTCACTCTTGCGGCTACAGCGAATTCGAGCTCACTCTGGACAGGCTGAAAGACAAGGCGGCTGCGAAACCCGATCTCGGGCCCAGGCGCAGCCACTCAGAAGCGGTCCGCGGGCCCCTCGTCGTCGTCCGTGAACTCCTCCTTGTCGTCCTCCTCCATGTCCTCGTCGTCCTCCTGCTCCTCCTCCTTCGGGGCCTGCTCGTTTCCGTGCTGCCTGCCAGGGAAGCCGATCGGCATCGCCAATGGCACGCGATTCCGGATTGCCTCCAGACGCGCCGCGTGCCTCGCCTCCTCCTGTGCCAGCCAGGCCTCCGAGTCCTGCTGAGGCTGGCCCAGGCGCCACGCTGCCGCCGCGGTCGGCAGCTGCAGCGACGGGAACATCGGGGGCTACCTCTGCCCGCGCGCGCGCGGAGGGCGGGCTGCAGCCCGTCGCGGCCTCTCTCGCGCCAGAGGGCTCTCTCGCGGCCTGCAGCCCGTCGCGGCCTCTCTCTCTCTCTCTCTCTCTCTCTCTCGTGCGCCGCGTAGAATTCGTCTTGCATGTTCCCACAAGCGCACTGAGCCCAGGCCATTTCCAGCATATGGCTCTCGCATCAGCTCTCGCGTCAGCTTGGCTTAAAGCATGCAACAGCTACACTGGTGAAGCGCAATAATCTTAAATGTGGGTTTCGTCTCAGCGCCTCGCACACTCGTATTCATTACCGCCCACAGTCACACGCATGCAACAACTACGCAGTTTGAAAACATACAGTGTCCAACATGTGGTTCTCACCTGAGCGCCACGCACACTCGTCTTACACAAGTTCGCGTGTTCTGCTGTTCCACGGGTGGGACACAGTAGCTCTCAAGCGTAGCTCTCGCCTTGGTTCCGCGCGTATTCGTCTAATCTTCCCTAGCAGTCACAGATGGAGGGGGGGGACCGTTTCCGACGTCTGGCTCTCATTTCAAGCTTGCAAGGAGGCGAAGGGTTCCCAGCACTTCGACCTCTGGGCCGCCTTGGGGGTTCCCACCGAGCGTGAGGGAGGTTAGGGCCCTCCTCCAGTGGTGGCGCGAGGCAGCGCCTGCCACTCTCGCGAAGGTGCATGGCAGAAAGGCCTTACCCCCTGAACATAGGAAGACCCCCTAAGCAGACACCATTCCCATGACTGGTACCCTCCCCCGCCTCCTTCTCCTCCTCCTCCTCCTCCTCCTCCTCCTCCTCCTCCTTCTCATCATCATCAGCATCATCATCCTCGTCGTTGGCACAGAAGCATCATCATCAGCAGCATCATCACCCACAACATCATCAACCTCATCATCAACAACAAAGCATAACCATCATGGCCAGCATCATCATCAGCAGCAGCATCCTCATCAGCGTCAGCATTGCCATCATCATCATCATCATCATCATCATCATCATCATCATCAGCAGCACCATCATCACCATCACCATCACGATCAACATCACCATCACCATCATCATCATCGCCATCATCAGCAGCATCATCACCATCATCAGCATCAGCATCATCATGACCATCATTTGTATCATTACCACTATCAGCATCACAATCATCAGACGTAGCAGCATCATCATCATCATTATAATCACCATCACCATCAAGATCACCGTCACCGTCACCATCACCAGCATCACCATCATCACCATCAGCAGCAGCAGCAGCATCACCATCAGCAGCAGCAGCATCATCACCAGTATCATCATCACCATCATCCTCATCATCCTCATCCTCATCCTTATCCTGATCCTCATCCTGTTCCTCATCCTCATCCTCATCCTCATCCTCATCCTCATCATCATCATCATCATCATCATCATCATCATCATCATCCTCATCCTCAACAGCATCATCATCATCATCATCATCATCATCATCATCATCATCCTCAACAGCATCATCATCATCATCATCATCATCATCATCATCATCATCATCATCATCATCCTCAACAGCATCATCATCATCATCATCAGCATCAGCATCAGCATCAGCATCCTCATCATCATTGTCATCATCATCGTCGTCGTCGGCAGCAGCAACAGCATCCTCATCCTCATCCTCATCCTCACCCTCATTATCATCCTCGTCGCATCCTCATCCGCATCCTAATCCTCACCACGATCATCCCTTCTCAAAAAGGGGGAGCTGCCGCGTCCTGCCGGCGAGCCTCCTGCAGCCTCTTCCTCCGGGAGGGCGACAGCTACCGACCCTACACCGACCCTACACCGCCCCAGGCGGGGCAACTCCTCGCAGGAGCGACCGACCCTGGGACCCGGCGGCCACGGCACGTTCATAAGAGAAGGCCGCCCCCCGACGCCTGGAGGTCTGTGCCCACCGATCCTGGGACGCCCAGGCTCGGTGGACCCAAACATCCGGACGTCGGAACAAATACACGACGGCCAATTTTCTCGCCCAGTTCTGGGCGTCCCGCGGGCCGCTCTTGGGCGCCTGAGCCAAAAGAAACCGAACAGGGGAGAGACATCCGTCCCAGGACTGTCAGTCATGACGGCCCACGCCGTGAAAGGTCACATCGGCGTCTGAACGGAGACCCTCCCCCTGGCCCAGCAACGATGGCGTGTACGCTGGTCCTGGGCCCACTCTCGGCCCAGCCAGGATCGGCGCACCTGGATGGCGCAAACATTCGACCTTTTGCTTCAATTCGGGGCACCCCGAAGTCACGACCTGTTCCCCAGAGCCGACTTGTTGTGTTGATGGTCCTGGGGCCCACGCGAGGGCCCCACGGGGCCGAAAACGGAGAACAATCTCCGCACTGATTTGTTCAATGCGCTGAACTCTGGGTAGTTGGCGTCCCCCGGCTCCTCGCGTTCATCTGGTCGCCCCCCTCCTCGGCGATCTTGCGCCACCGCTCGACCGCTGGGCCTCCCGACGGGGCGGATCGCGCCTCGAAGCTGCAAGGGGGACCTGCACAACGTAAATGAATAAGGGGGCAGCAGAAGAGGAGTATCGCCACCGTGCCGACGGCACGTGGTGGAGCGTCCTCAGACCCTTGGCGGCCCTCGGCATTAATCGGCGGTGGACACTGACTCCCTTTAGAAACCACTCTTTTTAGTGAAATCGGCCTTGGGCCGAAACCGACGGACCTGGACCCGCAAAAATAATGGCCGCGACGCCCTCTCGCAAACCGAAAACGGCCAATCCACTAATCGACGTGTCAGGGTAGGAGGTCTATCAACCTCCGATTTAAGTGCTGAGTGGAGCGGCGGAGCGGCGCCGATGTCGCCCGGGGGCGCCCCATGTAGGGAACGGTGGGTGCGCCGGGGCGCCTCAGTTGGATGCCTGTCCGCACGCAGATTCCATGCTCATCCAGTGAATGCGATTCTGGGCAAGCAACTCCCAGTTCCCATCTGCATGGCGTTGCCGCGCTGTCGCACAAATCTTGTCGAACCATCGCAGGCGTGGTCGTTGCGGCAAACTCCTGGCCCATACATCGCAATAGGGTGGATCCCACATTACAACCTTCCAGTTCCACTTGTGCTTCTCGTGGGCAAGTTTTGACACCCAGCCTCGTAACCCACCGCCACTTCCGTCGTCGTTGCATTGTGACCCAATCCTCGTCGCCAACTTGGTATATATATATATATATATATGTGTGTGTGTGTGTTCTGCCGTGCGCGTTGCCCTCTTGATCCAATCGCGCCGCGGCTCTGTGCGAGCATTTGAATCAAGAGGACGAAGATGTAGAACTGTCGCTGGTGCTTTCGGCTGATCCCGTGTCAACAGAGTGATGGTGTCATCGACGCCGCGTGCCTCCCAGCTGTCCGCAGTGTCGGTGAACCGGCGTCGTGGCGTGCTCAAAATCATGCGTAGCATTCGGCGCTGCGTAGTCCGGATTGTGAGCGCCAAATCGGCCTCGAGCGCCCACGACGCGCATCCGCACAACATAACTCCACGAACAACATCGTTGAATATGCGCAGGCGGTCGCGTAATGAATACGCTTTGCTGGTGAGATCTTCCTTGAGCAAGCAAAATTTTCTCCGAGCGGCTTTGATCCGTGACTCGATATCTGTCTCCAATGGGTCACAAAAGTGAACAGCCGGCCCAGATATTTCTGTGTCCTGGAGAAAGGCAATAATTCGATCTGCATGCCATCAAAGACTGTGAATTCTGGGGTGCTTTTTGGTTTCCCGTGGCATAGGTTGGTCAAGATCATCGTTCTGTCGGGGTGAACCTCCAAGCCTACCTTCGAAGCAGCAAGTTGCACGTCTGATCGCACTCGCTTGATCAGAGTCATCGACCCACCAATGAACAATACATCGCCCGCAACTCTGAGATTGGTGAGTCGCGTGCCCTCAACGCATGATAGTTGGATGCCGGACTTGCGCTTATCGGGTAGACTTTATTGCGACATACTGTTGAATAACAACGAACTCATTGGATCCTCCTGCTTCGCCCCTCGTGCACTGCGGAATTCTCGGCTCGACGTGTCCGTCTTCGCGACAGCTGTCTGGCCAGAGTACAACTTGGCAGTCGTGCCGGTCTACGGTGCCGGCACAGATTGTGCTTCCAAAGCCGTCCAAATTGCATGGTGGGAGACTGCGTCGAAATCTTTCTCGAAATCCAGCGTAGCCGCCCAAACCGGGAACTGCAATATCCTCCTTGTTCGATAAGGATTGCGAGCGCAAACATATGGTCATCTGTACAATCATTATACCGGAACGAAGGTTGGGATTTGTCGAGAACTGGCTCCAAACGATTGTACAGCAATCGAGAAAAAACTTCGTACATAAATGGAATGATACGCATCGGTCTGTAATTCTGCGGTAAAGACGCATCCCCAAATTTGAACAAAATGCTGATCTAGGTGCGATGCCAACTCTCTAAAATATGTGCACCTGTCACCAGTGCCATGTTGAATGCATCTAATAGCGCGCGTCGCAAGATGCCCCCCCCCCCCCCCCCGCCCCCATGCTTGAGCATCTCTGCTGCAATGCCCGATGCGTCTGCAGACTTACCGTTCTTCCACTGCCTGGGCCCCGTGGACATCTCCGCGATACTCAAAGGAGGGATGCCCGGCTTGGCAGCAGGTCGTTGGTTGCCCGTGTCTGCGTGGGTCGCTGCGTACAACTGCCCGCAGACATGCACGAATACGTCTGCGATCGCACGTTGATCAAGTACCAGGTCTCCGCCAGAAGACTGCATAGATGTAATGTGCCTCTTTCGCTTCGCACTCTTGATGCAACTGACATGTCGCAACCCCTTCAACCCATTCAGAATACGACCAATGCGAACCTTGTGATTATTGCGTCGCTGTGCTCTGATACGTTGTTTGACCTTGTTGCTCGCCACTCGTCGTTCCAACGCGCTGATTGCTGGTAACGCACTCCGCTGCGCAATCAAATCGTGTAAAATATTATTGGCCTGGCCATTACAATTGTTGTAACCGTTTGTTGACGGCTCCCCCATCGCATCCCGCATCGCACTCTCGATTCCCGCGTGCAACCCCTCCACTGTGCCGTCGCATGGCGTCCCTTGCAGATTCTTCCCCACGTCGGTAGCGTCCTGCTGCGTATCACGAAATGGCCATATTGTCCGGACTTCCCGTGCGCGTTTGGATTTGATTTTGCGCGTGCTCATGTTGGGCGTCAGCTTGCGAAAGATGTTGCCCTGCAGCTTCAGCGCTCGATGGTCAGACCCCAGATCGACGGCATCGTTCGCAGCGCAGTCCGCCACTGTCTTCCAAAACCACCTGCGCACGATGATATAGTCCAACTGCCGCTGGCCATGCTGCGTGGCGGTAAATATGCAGATCCTCGGGCTGATTTGTTTCAAAGTCGTATTTGTAAACGCCAGATTATCGGAAACAACCCAATTCTTCAACCACTGCCCCCGTATATTCCCAGGTGCACGGGCGCGCGTACGGCACGCTCTTGGATCGTCGTATTCCGCCGCAGGCCCCACCTGAACATTGCAGTCCGCACCGATGATAATACTCAATTTTCGTCGCCTGGTCTCCGGCGTCAGAGAAGACAAGACAGAGTAAACAGGCTGCGCGTGGTCGCCGGAAAACTTGGCGCGCGGAAAATAACCGGCGACAAAACGGACTTTCAGTGAAACGTGGACGACGTCCAAGCAAGCAATGCGGGCGTTAATTGATACAAACTGCGAGTTGTACCCAGTTCACCGGGAGTGCAAGAGTATGCCAACTCCATGCTTGTGCGAACCTGCCCAAGATCCTGCAAACAAATGTCCATCCTCGGTGGTCCACATATCCCGTCGCTGTGAGCGCATCGTTTCGCTGAGTAGTATGGCGTCCCAATGTATCCCAACAAGCTCCGCCAATAATTCAAGAAATGCGTCGTCGGTTGTCATCCCCCTCGCATTCTTCTGAACGACGGTGAAGTTCAACGAGCTCCCAGTGGGGGGCATGCGAAGCTGTCGGCCACTCCCGGGCGTAGTGGCAGTCGGCATCGCATCTCGTGATCGGACCTGGTGAAAACGAAACGGGAGTCGGTGAGACTGGTAAGGGTGAAACTGGAGACTGCGAGAAACCGATGGGAATGGATACGTAATCGTAGGAGGTCGGATAACGGCCCGGAATTGGAGCGTAGGTGACCTAGTCGTCGTAGCCGGAGTCGGGTTGTCTGCTGCAGCAACAGGTCTCCTGATAATTGGTGGGTTACGTCAGAAAGATAAAGGGGCATCACCTGCTACATGAACCAATGTTCCTCTGCCGCCCCCCCGAAACAATAGATGAAGGACGGAATGTTGATATACTCCCTATTGGGCTCCTATTTTCTCGACTTACGTCTGCACCGAAAATCGGAAAATCTAGCATGCGAAGACATGTCCAGACGATCTTGCATGAACCCTTGGGATGTGTAGCGTGCCGCGTGCCGTTCGTGGTTGGGCGGCAATCGTCCAAGGTGTTTTGTGGGAGTGTGGTCGATGTCCTCGACCAGTCCTGGTAGGCGCCAAAGTTTCTGTAGGCAAATGAAGTTCTGAGGCGATTGCAGCCCCCTCTTCTCCTCTGGGGGTGGCAGAGAATGCTCGCGAGACTGACCTTGTAGATGCCTTCCTGCCACTAGTAGTGGAGCGGCGTCACGACGTCACTCGCTTTCTGTCTCAGGTTCCCGGCGCATATTATTCCTCAAAGCTTCCATGACTTCATTCACCTCCTCCTCCACTGCATGCCCGGATGTCGTGGTATGCCCCTCCCCCTCCCCATCATGCCATGCAATTTTCCTCTCTTTCCCAGCGCCGTCCTTCAGCACAATCATACTCGGGGGCCAAATGATACGGATATCATGATGTGAGTGCTGAGGTCGTTTGCAAAGAAAGTGCTTCGTATGCCCCAACCGTTTTTCCCGGTCACGTTCATCCATTGTCAACTTGTTCCGAAAGAATATATGTCCGAACGCGGTTTCGCCGATTGATAATGCAGCCTTGGCCTTCTTCAAAAAGTCAACGTTTGCTGCAACAGTTGGGAATTCGACCATACCCAGTCTGGTCAAATCCGTACCGGTTGTCGCCGTAGCGTGGGTACCAGATCCGAAAAGTCGCTGAAGAAATTGTTCGAGGCGTTGTATCGCTGCCGTTGCTGTCGTATGTCCTTCGGATCCGAGGGCAATGACCTGCCTGGCGCGGCAGTCCTTCTCCTTCTCCTACGTGTTGCCCTCCCTTGTTTGGCGATCCCTCCTGTTCCCCCATGCTGCGTCGGATCGCTGGTGCCGCAAGGCGCGTTGGATCTTATCTTCGATCATCGTGCCAACCATTTCCTGTACATTCTCTTGCGTTACGTAAAGATCGTCCATGTCCTCTCGGATCGCTTCAACTTCGCCTTCGATTTCAACAACCCTGTTGCGAAGATCCCTCATGTCCCATTTCATTTATTTAACTTCTTCTTTCGTCTGTTTGACCGTGTCGCTGACATTCTGGAGCTGCCGGGTAAGTGTGTTGGACTTTCTGTTCTGGCGTTGTTCGTACTGTTGAAACCAAGCTGGTGCCTCCATCCTATCACCTTTTCCTTTCCCACCTCCCGCACCTTCTAATTGTAATTCCACTTCCGAATCCTCCCCGTCGCCGACCTTCATGTTCATGAATTCCTTCATGTTATCCTTGCGGCCTTCCTTCTCGTCCGATGTAAAACCCGCTGCAGTCCCTGATCGCTTAGCCATGATCCCACCTGCCCTGCACACGTCCTGACACAAAACAGATGAGTCCCCAATCAGACGCTGACGTAACAGTTAGCGAAAGAGATGTTCAATCGCCAGAGTAAGGTGTACGAGTATGCACCCCTGAGTGTGCACCCTTGCTTGAGTGCTGAAGAGATGGAACCCGGTGAAGGCCCCGGATCACCGGTTCACGGGCGTTGTCGGGCGCTCTCGGGCGCTCGTGCGCGCCTCCACGGCTCCCCGCGCGACCTTTCCCGAGGCCTTCGAACGGTGGCTGGAAAATCAGGCCTCTAGACGCGCGAAGAAGGCTCCATGGGGGCCACTTCGGAGCCATGTTGGATTCGTCTTGGCCGCATTGGAGGCCCTGGGGGGCGGCGCGAGAGCCCCCAAGCCTCCAAACACCGTCGATATGCCTTTGGTGCTCATGCTTTCGCCTCTGGGGTCCTCAGAGCGTTCTACAGACAGCTCCGAGGTCCCCAAAAAGAGGCCCAAGAGGCTGGTGCGCTCGCGACTCGGAAGATCCCGAAGACTCACTATCAGCACTTTGGCGACCACCCTCACTGGAATCCACGGTTGATGTTTTTTCCATCGCCCGCGCGCTCAGCGGGACGGCTGCAGGCGGTGCCTCCCATCTCTTCCAAGGAAAAGCGGCTGAATTGGACTGCAGCTGCTGCCCGCGCTAGCGCGGAACAGCACCAGCGTCGAAATCAAAAAGATGGACCCGCGCCAAAAAGAGGATCTCCTGGGGCTGAAGAAGCCCGCGGGGTTCCCAAAGCGGGCTATCCTGGACCACGTCGAGACACATCTTGCTGCCAGCGCCGAGAGGGCTTGAGCCAAAAGTGGGCACAGGGGAGGGGGGGAGAAAAAAGAGGCGGGGGGCTGAGGAGCTCCAGGGGGTCGAGGATGACGAGCGGGAGATGGGGTGAAGACAGATGTGCAACACGATTTGGCTTCGAACTGCTGTTGATGCCCTCAGACGCTCCCTGCGATGATGCTGACTGAGGCCGCCATGGCAGCAGCAGGTGTTCACCACGTAAGTGCCCCAGCCTGGCAGGTACGTCCCAGAGAACAAAGATGGCGACTTCGATCGTGTGCAAGCACGTGCCTGACACTCCCACGCTTCAACGTCAGGGGAGGCTGGCGGCGCGCGCGCCCAGAAGTTCTGCACCCTCGATGGCCAGGTTCAGCTTCGCGTAGCACTTCGGGCACTGAGGCGTCGCGAAAATCGGCGGGGCAGCGAGGGCGATAGCGGGCACGAGGCGGGCGGCAGAATCCCAGTGG